TGTGTGTGTGTGTGTGTTTTCCACCGGCAGCAGTGCAGGTGGTGAGTGTGTGGGTTGTCCACAGGCGGTGGTGTTGAGGTGCAGCAGTGACAGTCCCACTGAGACCTCCATAGGAGCGCTCCATTAATAACCTGCTGAGACAAACTCCTGCTGCTACAAACACACACATGCACATGGACGCACACAATCCAAATACACAGCTTTCCTACTGGCAAATTGCAGGTCAATTGTAATTTTCATGGCTGCGGGTCGTTTTTGTGCGCTGGTCTGGGCCCCTGCTGTGTTTATCTGTGTACATGTGTGCGTGTCCATGCATCTCAGGATGTGGTTAGTGTGATTGCGGGTGCTTGTGGTGACACGTCTCGATGTTTTCCTCCCAGGAAATTGGTCTAAATTGCATGTATCGAGAATGAGAGACAGAAAATGGATTTATAGATAAATCAACAATGTGGGAGAGAGAGAAGAGAAAGAGAGAGGGAGGGATGGATGGATGGAGGGGGAAGAGAGGGAGGGCTGAGAAGGAGGAGAGGTTGAATGAGGTGAGGCAAGAAGGAAGCACAGTGGGAGGGTTGCTGAGTCCAGTCAAATCAAATTTACTTGAAAGGGCCTTTTGCACGAAGCAGGTTTGTCACTACTTGTTTAGCAAACAAGCAGGTAAATAGAAAAAAAAACAAAGAGGGGAAAAAAAAGAAGGGATGAATGAGTGATATGAGGCAAGGACGGCCTTTTTTCTTACTCTGGTGATGGCAGCGTTGGAAGGGAGCTTGCGCCTCGGCTTCTTCTTCCTCACCTCCTCTTCTTCGTCGTACAGATACTGAGAGAAAGAGACAGAAAAAGGTCAAACGGAGGGAGAGAGGTGCAGCAGACACACCAAGGATGAGAGAAAGAGGAGAAAAAGTATGAAAAATGGTGTTTTAAAGGTTAGTTTAAGGTTGTTACAGAAACTGTACGCCCAGTTTTATGGTGGAATTAATGTCCAGCACAAAAAAGGAAAAATCTGTGTATTCACTTCCTACGACGTAAAGAACAACGGCTGCTGTGTTCCTGGTATCTTGGTTAACACCACATTGTGAGGCTTTGTGCTTCCAAATGATTTACAGCTCGCCAAATTTGATTTAAAACACACCGGCAGAATTTTCACTTGGCTTACATTTGGGCTAGTGAGTGTTGCGGGGTTAAAGGATTAGCCCGGATTAGGTTCTGTTTTTGTTGTCCAAAAGCCATTAAAACACATTTCGGTGTTGCACCTGGTAATTTGTGTAATCCATCCCACGTTCAGCGCTGCAGATACACACTAATGCTAAAATCTGCAGTTTAGAAAATAAAAAAAAATCCTCAACAAATACGCTCTTTACTCTTATTTATCAGTGTTTGTTTAAAACTAGTTTAGTATCTTTTGATGTCATTGTGCAGCCGCTGCATCTTTCAGATATAATTGCATTGAAGTCATCAGTGGTACGGCTGTCAGATGATAAAGCAGATGACAAACAGGTACACTGTTGTTTGTGACCACAGACTGGAAGAGGCATTGGAGCCAAAGTAGTGCATTTTTATATTAATTTATTTTATTGGATAATTTTCTTTTTTTAAAATGATACCACTAACCAATAATCAGTGGAGACATACAGTTTTATTTATTCTTTTAAAATGGTCCTGACCCAGTAGTGCTGACCCAAATGCCTTAATGTATCTCCCATTGTCAAGGTAATCAATGTACAAGTCAGTATCTAAAAATCTTGCATTTATTATTAAAGGACAAAAACCCCCATGCCAAAAAGTGCAATAAAAATTTTGGAGAAAAAAGAAAAAAATGAGAGGAGACTTGTTTTACACAAGATTAGAATGAGTTGCATTTGTTTATGCAGAGAGCCAGTAGCTTCATCTAAAGTTGTAAGTAGCTCTGTTGATGACTTAATGCCTTGTGCACCAATTAAAAAATAGATAAACAAAAATTAAAAAATACAGAGACATCCTTATGGACAAAAATGGAACCAAAAATTGCCATAAATATCTTATATATTAATATCATTTTCCACTTTTTTTTTTAAATGATCAGAAAAAGGCTTAATATCCAATAACTAGTGGAGACATACATTTTTATTTATTCTTTTAAAATGGTCCTGACCCAGTGGTGCTGACCCAAATGCCTTAATTTATCTCCCAGCATCAAGGTAATCAATGTACCAATCAGTATTTAAAATTCTGCATTTATTATTTTCATTTACATTTTTTATTGTTTACCAAAAAATTCCAAGTAGCCCATGAAATAAAAAGTAGTACTTCAATGTTATATATTATGCATCATCATTTGTTCTGACTAGTTATTACCAGACAATTAACATGTACTGACACTAGAATGGTGACACGTGACCACATGTTATTCTTAGTAAGTTACATTTACGATGGCAAAATGTGGAAAAAATTCAAGTTAGCCCCTAAGAAGTCAAGTCCCAGACAGGAAACTGGCGTATCATCAATCAACAGCCAGTTTGGCAAATCACCTGAACACTGTGAGTAAACAGCTTCGCCGTCTTCGCTGGCTAATCATCCACCGAATCCCTCAAGTCCAATTTTTGCACTCGGATTCCACCAATGCGTTTGGCTACGTTGCAGTTAGAAAACATGTTTGTTTATTTCCCCATCTGTCTTCTATTTAACAATGTCATCCCCTGTCTCAGATCTCAGCCACTACCTTGGCATTATCATCTGAAACAGAAAAAGTCTGCAACTACGAGAACACGAGCCTCAATGAGCTTCTGACTTCAGCCCAGCTTTGACCTTCTGCTCTCCCTCCTTTCTCAGCTCACTGCTTCCCTCTTGCAGTCAGCCTCCTCACCCCTGAACTGTCTCATCACCCTTTTCTCTCTTTGTCCTCCCTCCTTTCAGCCTTTTCAATCTGGCCTCCTCAGCCTCGTTGCTCCCTTCTTATCTCTGTCTGCTGTCTGTTCGCTCCTTTCAATCTCTCGCCTCGATGGGCGCCGATTCCCCTCACATCCCCCGAGAGCCGCCACTTTTTTCTCTTTCATAATCCGGCGCAGAAGGTAACACAATACAGAAACCACGAGCATTCTGCTGATGCTCGCACCGGTTCGTTTGTGAACTGGGCTCCTGTTCAGTCGAGCACTGCAGCAGAGACGAAGAAAAAAAAATAGAAAAACGACGAAAATGGGGCAAAACCCAATAACCGATTCAGTTTGAGCAAAGAGTCAGCCAGACGCAGACCGACTTTCTCTGTGGTTGCTTTAGATGTGCAATAATAACTTATGTTACATGGATATCGTGAAAAATACTCTTTCAGGGGCACAGAGCTACTTTTGGAGAAATGTGAAGGCAATGTTTGTGCAAGCAAAGTGAGAGAAGCAGACCAGAGGAAGTCGGACACACCTGTCCATGAATGGGGTCATCGCTGCCTTCCTGTTCTGATGAGTAGCTCTCTTCCTCCTCTTCAGAGTAGTTGTCGATGTCTGGGGAACGATCTGGAGAGACACAGAAAGGAGAGCTAAAGAACAGGGACAAAATGATGGAGAGAGAGATGTGATAAGGTGGAGTACACACCAGACATCTTTGCTTTGGGTCCCTCGTGATCGATGGGCTGGCTGGACAGAGAGTAAACTCGGACCTCAGCGACGGGCAGCGAGGCGTCCTTCAGCTGGCTGTGGAGCCCCAGGACCTGGGCGCCCTCGCTGGGGTGCTGCATCACCTTGAGGGAGTGAAAAAACAAGGAGTTGCATTAAATCCGGTCACACAGAGAGTCTGCAACTTCATAAGAAGTTGAACGGTGATGACTTGAACTCCTGTGTTTCAGTTTAAAGAAGACACACTGGAATCTTTAAGGACAAAAAAAGTCTGCATCAAAAAGAATCCATCTGTTTGTTTTCATGATTTCAGTCCTTTAAATGCTGGTTTGATAAGACCACAGTGGATTTCTATGAAAAACCATTTCCATATGATAAATGCTTTAGAGATGAGCAGCAGCACTGATTCTGATGCATTAGTGTTGTTCTGTGCAATGTCAGATTAAAACAAACAAACAAAAAAAACACTCAGGATTTTAAGGACAAAAATCCCCATCCCAAAATGTGCCATAAAAATATTGGGGTGAAAAAAGAAAAAAAGAGAGACTTGTTGAACACAAGATTAGAATGAGTTGCATTTGTTTATGCAGAGATCCAGTAGCTTCATGTAAAGTGTAGGTAGCTCTGTTGATGACTTAATGCCTTGTGCACCAACTTAAAAACTAAACAAATAAATTTAAAAAAAATAAAAAACAAAAAAATACAGAGACCTCCTTAAGGACAAAAATGCCAAGTAATATCAAAAAAATTGCCATACAAATCTTATAAAATATTATTATTTTCCACTTTCACAAGATATATTTTAACCAGCATCAGTCCTGATAATAAAAGCTAAATATTCATACATTTTTAGGATTTTAACCTTTGAAAAAAACGTGATAATTTTACCATGTAATACACACTAAAGGGCATTTTTAAATTGTCACTGTCTGGAATATATATATATATTAATGATGAGCAAAAGCACTGATTGTGTCAAAAAGAAAAACATTGAAAAAGGAGGGGAAAAGGGAGAAGATGTCCAACAATAAAAACAATTAAAAAAAAAAAACTAATTCTCATTCTTCACAAATTTAAGAAAAAATAAAAAATAAATGTTACGCTGTTGTCAGACGTGATGTAGCTCTAAAAATCAAGAAAAAAAATCATATTTAAAGTTTCATTAATCTCATTTCAGCTCACCATCCGTGGGATGTATAGAAAAGGGGTTTATTTGATTTCTGTAATTCAGAAAGATGCAGATTTCCAACCATTTTTTTTGCTTTTGTTTTAAATTTCTGACTCAGACTCCAAACTTGTGCCCATATGCGATTTGAATAAAACCCCGTCATGCTCTAACAAGCAACTGTTTTCCCAGATGAGATGCGTGTGAATGCCAAAACAGCAGAATGCTAATAAAACGAGAACGCTGAAGGAACGTCCAAGTCAGATGCATAAACTTTGAACAGACACGTTGACGAGGGATCAGCTTATTTCAGTCGTGGCTCTCTTGTGCACAGCCGGGACGAACGCTGGACATCGCGTCGTTCAAACAGCATTAGAGGAGGATATGAGAGGCGATAGAGATCAGAAGGAAGGCTCTGCAGAGGAGTGAATGATGATACACAAGGAGAGGAGGGAGGGGGAGAAATGAACAAAGACGGCAATCAGGGATCAACAAAGCCAGACAGAGGGACCGTGAACGTGTGAGACGGTCGTTTGTCTCTGCAGCAGAAAGCATGCCGTCTCCTGTGTGCGTTTGTGTATCTGACTGAGCGACATCCAGCCTCTCTCAGCAGTCTGGTCACACTCAGGCGGTTAATGAAGTCTGAGCAGCTTATTACGGAGACGGCCTCAGCCACACATTACACAGAGACACATTACTGCTTCACATCCATTCACTTGGCAAAGGTTCAGCTGACTCACTTCAGATGTTTCATGCTCCTGCTAGCTCTGTGAAGCTCCGTGCAGCTGATAATTTAACCATTTTCCAGCCAGAAAAACAATTATGCAAATCCGACAAACAGCACGAAGGCGCAATATGCATATTTAATGAGACGCACTGATGTAATTTGATAGTTTTGTTTTGTGTTTTTTTTTTTATCTCGCCAATTTTCCTCATGAAGACACTAAACCCGGTGATGGATTTACTGCAGGTTCTTCTCTGAAATGCTGCCGCAGCTTTTAAAAATCTATTAAAAAGCGCTTGCAGAGTTAAACTACTGCAACGACTGAAGGGATGCATCATGCTGAACAACATGGAGCGAATTCTTTCTTAAAGGATGCTTTTATCACAAAGGTAAACACAGCATGTCAGCCAGACTGTCTTCACTTTCAAACTCTCGATGGGAGAGAAACAGCAAAATAAAAGTTGGGCTGAATGGAGTAATGATTTATGCATTAAGTCATGCTGGGAAAATGCAATAAATGTGTTAAAATTAAGTATAAAAAAACGGACACTGCAACCTGATTTTAATGTTTTTTTAAAAGGAAATGCGAGAACACAGGGACCAGAGGGCATCGCTGACTACAATCGTTATGGCTATTGATTTCAAAAAGAAATAAAATCACACCAATGTCACCCCTTTTGAAAGTCTGACTAAAATGAATCTTGCTGTCTGTATTTCTCAATATTGTAAAAGCACAATAAACCACAAAGGCATTCTAAACTCTGGCCTTTCTATGTAACCTCCCTTACTTTCACATCTTGCAGAAACAGCGCGTCTTTAAAGGTGACTTCATGGTGCTGCTTGAAATAATATCAGTTGTTGCATCAGATCTTTTAACAGCCTCCCCGCATCCATGACATCACATAAAACCTGCAAGTGGAAGTGGATTAAAGGACCACTTTGAAGCCAGACTTTCACTTTTCAGAGAAGAAATAGAAATAACCGTCTGTAAACCTCTTCATGGTCTCATCCCTACATATATCTCAGACGTTTACAGCCCCACCAGACCCCTCAGATGCTCTGACTGAACCCCAAATGAGTGGTTTTTTGGCTCCTGTCACATTTTTATTCACTGTGGACTCATGCTACACCGTAACACAAAGTTCTGCACCTCTATGGAAACAGCACAACAGTGGCTGGAACTAAAGACAACTCAGAAATGTTTCTTGTGCAGTAAGACAGTTATAAAGGCAGAAATCATACAAAATGTAAAGTTAGATTTTAATTTATTTGATTATATGTTTTACAATAATTTCAAAAATCTCACAGGCGATACACACACTGGAAGAAAATCGAGTCTCCACGTGCAAAGATACTGAACTATTTGCATTTTTGCAGCCTCTACAAACGAGGCTTCTTCTGTTTTTTTGCTCTGCACATCAGCTCCACAAAGCTGATTCACCATGCTCAATGTGTCCTCCAACAACTGGCTGCCAACTTGCTCCTCTGTACACTGTTTTTGAGCCATGCTGCATTTATATGAACTGCTCAAGTATGTTTTACTCTCCTCTTAATCTCTCTTATCACCACCTTTACTCTGTGTGGGCACAACCTGCAGTTAAGCTGAATGATCCATGAATTTTTGTCACAGCTGAGTCAAACGTGACTTTTCAGTTAAACTGAAGATCACAGGCTTATCAGGTTTTTACAGGATCTGATGGATTTTTTATTTTTAAACAAAACATGTCCAATAAGTGATTTTAATGAGACATCACGATATTAATCAGGGGGTTTGTTAATTTTCCTGATGGAACTCCATATCACACACAATTCATTTAAAAACTGTCAGAAAGTTGAAAATCTGTTGATTTTTTCTATTTTTACTGTTTCTGGCTCTGATAAATGCTGTAATTTTAACAATTTTATAACCTACCTGTAACTACCAGCTGGCAGGTTTTGTGCTTCACAGGGTTAACAGATGATGATTAACTGAATAGCAGAGATGTGCTTTTTTTTACCCCCACTGATAGAATGACTACATGCTCACGCTGAATCCCACTTTAAATACATTGGTGGTCATAAAAAGTGCATTAAGTTGTAATTTCACATTTAGTTTAGGTGACATTTGCAATCTTTATGTGATAGTTTTATGAAATGAAACATTCATGGCTGACATGTAGACAGAAGCCCTCAAGCTGCTCCAGTTAATCATTTAAAAAGAAAAACTGAATGAAAAGTTCACCCGGTAGCCTCCTGACATTAGCAAGGGATGAATGCAGCTCCTACAGATTGTGCTTATTGGGATGAAAGTAAAAGCTGATGCAATGTTAAAGCATCTCCTGTTCAAAATAAATGTTACTTTTGTTATTTGCTTAGTTCGTTTGCATCACAATGCAGTTTTAAGGGTGATTAACCTTCCCTGAAATGCACACTGTGTTTACCACAGGAACTTATCTTGTAATAAATTAGTCATTTCTGGCTTTAATCGCCAAATATTTGTTCTCTTTAGCATCTTAAATCTGATGATCTACTGTTTGTTTTTATCATATATGATGCTAAAAGACATACTGAGGAAATACGACTTATCAGCTAAGTATTAGACAATAAAAATACTTGTTTGTGTGCCACAAATGAAGATGATTGTGTCTTTACAGTCACAACATTTTTGGAATATCTGAACGGGTTCAACAGTTCATCCTCTTTCCTCCAACTTGCTGGGTCAGTGGAAACTACCTGTCATATTAGAAGAAGCACAATGCCATCAAAATGACATTTCTTTGCGACTCTGAGAGGCCCGTGCGTGTGCCCTGTAGCGCATTATTTTTCTGACACACGCAGGGCTTTAGGTAGAATATGCCAACATGGCTCTTTCTGCGGGGACTTTCACTGTGGCTCTGAAGGAAATGAGTTTGAACCTTTGGTGCGGATGAGTCTGCATTTGTGTCCTTTGCCCTTTGTGAAGCACTTTGCAGTGAACCTGTCCGTTGCAGGAGCTTCATGAATAAAATTTGACTTTATTTTACATGCTGGGACGCTCTTCTGCAGCCAGCAGGCAGCAGAATAACAGCTGAAGCGCTGCAGTCTGACTTAAGGTTGATCAGCTCATTCAACTGTTGCATTTGGTTCAATTTGCGCCGAATAAGATGCTCAGCTAACTTTTAAAGACCAAACCCACTTCTTGATTAAGCTATTTATGAGCATTTCTCTCCATAAAGTATTTTCTGGTGAGCCAGTTTGTTCAAAGTGTTTTATTCTGTAAATAACTGTCACCAGGAATTCACAGAGCACAAGGAGCGTCCACATGTCCTCACACATAGCATAAATCTCAGCCCTCTTAAAACAGATTCATATTGTGAGAGGCAGAGAATGCGAGGAGCTTTTGGCAGAAGAGGCTACAATTTAATTGGACATTTGATTTATGGCGACATTTATGTCGACTTGGAAGAGAACTTTGGGCCAAAGATCGGAATCCGACGTCTGATTCGAAAGTGCACTCGCTTGAATTGAGTTGAGATGAAGGTTAAATGAAGGGTAGCCTGGAATAAAGTTTCGAGCGGCATCACTGTGAATTAATTTTCTAAATGATGAGGGAGGGATATGAAAGAATAGATGTGCATGAAAATGAAAGGCAGCGGCGACAAGAGAAGACCACCCCTATTATTCTGCTAGATATTAGGTTAGAAAGCGCTTTGCGAGGACACGCTGTGAAATGAAGCCGAGCTGAGATTGGATTTAAGGAGAGAGCAGAAGCTCCATGTTTAGGGAAATGAGCCTGTGACCGGTAGTTTGTAGGGTCAACGGTCCAGATCCGCCGGGACATTCGTCTGGTTGCGGAGGATGAGACTCTGCTGACTCGACAGCTCACAGCTGACGTGCCCTCAAACATGCAGCTTAACCTCCATCTGCTGCTGTGGAGGAGCTCAGTGCTGGAAACACACATTTGGACTGAGAAACTTTCCCTCCACTAATGAGTCGACTCAAGATTCAACCACTTGCCTGGCTGATATTAAAAAATGAACTTTAATTTACTTCAGATTCATCAGAGTCGCGCTCCGCACTGCTCTGAGGAAGACAAGCGACTAAAGCGAGAGACTGTTGAAGAAGAGCAGGAAACAAAGTGTTATTTGTTTCCACATGTTGCCTCATTAGTCTGTAATTTAAAAGGGTCTTGGCTGTTTGTTTCAAAGACACACTTTGTTTTAAAATGTTACTCAAAAGTTGTGTTCTCTTCTGCATGAGATCAATAAACTGCACTAAATTATACAAAACCAGGTTTTCTGGTAACGCTCAGAGTTCACACACACGCCATCAGTCAGGGCTGCAGCAAGCAATTATTTTCATTAATGAATATTCTAACGATGATTCTCTCTGGTAAATCTAGGGGAAGCAATATTTTTTTATGTTTCGCTCCTGTCACATTTTTAATCCCTGTGGGCTCATTAGTAATTGCAATAGAAATTCCTGCACCTTTATGGAAACAACATGATGCTGGCTAGAAGTAGAGAACTTGAAAATGTTTTCTATGTAGCATCAAAATTAATGATGAATTACTTTCATTATTTATTTTAGGAAAATGTAAAAGCCTATCTGTGTCCACAGGGGTCATCAATACTGAAAACCAAATGTCTCCCTTCACACTGTAGATATCGTACTACTCACACTTTTATTATCATGTTGACATATTTGTCTTCTATCTGCTATGTGTAGCACAGCCTGCAGTTCAACTGAAAACCAATGAACTGGCTGCAGCTGAGTCACTAAAGGCTTCTCATTTGCAAAAGGAAGCACAGATTTATTTTTAATTTTTAATTTAATTTTTTTTTTTACAGAATCTGGTTGTTGCAAATTGTATATTTATGGCACTTTTGTTAAAATTAGCAAAGTCAAATAAAGTAATTTAAATAAATGAAAAAAAAAATCACAGGTTTTATGTAAGATTTGGTTAATATGTATTAATATGTATATGTATATATGTATGTATATATATTAATATGTTAATATTCCTGACAAAATCTAAGTTACACATGATTGGCTCAAGGTCTATTGGAAATTCCCACAGTTCTTTCTGTTTTAACAGGATCTCCCTCTGATAAACGGAGCAATTTTGGCCAATTTTTAAAAATAAAACAGCTTTCAAACTCACCAGAGTTTAGTGGTTTAGAGGGTCAATCGATGAATTGTACTGAAACTTCCCACAAATTGTGGGAAACAGCCACCACAATGGCAATTTATTCATGAGTTTAGTTTTTCATAGGAACAGTTGATTTCTGAACTGTTGATTAAATTATTGAATAAAGGACGAATGATTTCAGCGCCACTTGCAGTAACAAATAGATAAAGAGAAAATTGGGGGTCACACAAACAGCTGGATCACAGAGCATCTGAAAATGGGATTTTTCAAAATCTGATTCAAGAAACTTTAATCAGATAATTTCTATCTATAATACACAAAAGACATGATGAATTTAAGCCCAATTGTCTCTTTTTCTTAACAGGAAAACTTCACTGGTTCCTCCTAAAAGCTACGAGAGCACAACGTTCACTTATGTTCTCACGGGCTTCTAAAAGGCCTTTCAAGAAAACAGAACTGCAGAGGAAGGTGTTTGGTTTAAACTTCACATCACAGCTTTTCTAAGGCTCATCATTGCTGTTGCTTTCCAGCGTTGACACAGTTAGGACAAAAACAGTCTTACCTCGGCCATGTTGATGAGCCCCAGAGCCAGCGTCTTGTAGCCCAGGATGGTCCGGTTCTTGTATCGCTTCCGCCGCTGCAGCATGATCTGAAGCTTGTTGGCGTCCCTCTTCAGGAAGTGTGGGTACTGCAAATACAAAACACAACACTTTAGCAAACACACGCACGGACACCGAAACAGCTGACAGGTGGGTGATGAATTGTTAGATGGGTCCAGGCTGTTGAAGAAATGACATTTGTTTGTCAGGTCTTGATAATGAGACTGATATAAATGGCTTGTTGTATAAGGCATTCGCACCCGCTGACCTGTCTCTGGCATCCCCAAGTGTCAAACCACTTAGTCACATCCGAACCATGACATAACCCATCATTAAGGATCTCACCGGCTGCACTATAAATGGAACAAAACTGGCTCCTGTGACAATGTTCAAAGCTATGAAATGATTCAGCTCTTCCTCTCTGCAGTGCTGCTGCTGCTGCTGCTGCTGTAGAAAGTCTTATGTATAATGTATAATGTCTGGCTCGGTGCACTCGGTAAGATACGGAGATACAGAGAGAGAAATTCCCTGACCTTTTAGCAGCGTTTAGAATCGTGGAAATCGGAAAGGATGATTTAGAGCAGAAGAAACCCTATTGGGAATTATATTAACCTTCCTCTGCCTGGATGCACAAGGAAAGCTAATATTAGTGTGTGTGTGTACAGCTGATGAATGCAGGGTCGATGTTTGCTACACGCAACATCTCTGCGCCTACACGTCAGTGGACAGACGGATAGGAAAACTTTACCCACAGCAGTAAAAATATGAGCATCGTCAGAGAACTGATGCAAAAGCAGAACCGAGCTGAATATTTTTACGCGCTTCAGGTTATTGCCTTGCTGGAATAGTCTCCCATATGTTCTTTATACTTTGCTGTGGACATTTTACCCTCTACCTCTATAAGCCTCCTGCTGCCGAGGAGCGTCCTCACATCATGATGCTGCCACCGCCATGCTTCACATAGCATCTAGTGTGACGGCAATAAAGCTAGGTTTCCATTTGAGTTTCTCACAGGCCTTCTGGTGAACTATATCAGGTAGTAGTTGTTGTATGCAGTCTCTGAAGCTTCTAACTTCTTTAGAGGAGTCACAAGTCTCTTCTCTTTCTTCACTCAGCTTTTAAAGACGGTCACTCGAGGCAGATTCTTTCCATTTCTTAATGAAGGACTGGACTGAACTCCAACGGGATGCTCAGTGGCTGGAAATCTTCTCGTAACCATCCCCTGACTTATGCTTTTCAATAACCTTTTCACACAGTTACTTGAAGTGTTCTTTTGTCTTGATGGTGTAATTATACGTAGGCGTACTTATTCACCAGTGACTTGACATTCAAGACTGGCGTCTTTATGCTACAATCCCTTAAGACGCGTCCATTTTATTATTGTGGCCCACGATTAATTTGCTGTGGATTATGACACTTACATTGTCTTCATTATTTTGTGATAAATTGAATTAACGTTGGGAAAATCAGCTTTGAAAGGAGGAACTGCATGCGTTTCCTTACAACAGGGGCTCTTAAATGGTTCACTGTGACCGTTATGCACAACAGCAAGGGTTGTTTTTAGCCATGACAGTGCATTAATATAAAAACTACCTCAATTTTTTTATTCCTGATATTTTTTTCCCCCATATTTTGCTCTTTCAGTTAACTTTTTCTAATTCAAAATGCACATAAAAGTACATCATGGAAATATGGCTTATGAGGTAGATGTTTGTGTTTTTGAGTGACATGTCTCAGCATACATTGGATTGATTGCTATGAGACTAATACAGACGTTCTTGTTCTTTATTTCAGGTACAGTGTGCAGCGGGGTCGTTTTGAGTTTAGTGCAATTGTGGCTGTTTTCTGTATAAACAGAACACACGAGCAAAATTACTGTTGGGCTGTGACTGGCAGGCCCCTGACCTCTCTGAACCTTTGTCTGTACCTGCAGGGAGAAGGTGAGCTGCAAGTCCGTCTCCGTCAGTCCGGCTGAAGACAGCAGGATCTCATTGGAGCGCAGGATCCGCTTGGAGCCCTGAGGAGGCGACAGAGGGAGGACCGACAGTGAGCGATGACAAAAGAACACACCATCGTGAGAGCGGCAGAAAGACAGCGAGGAAACATGGAAAGATGACTGCTGGCGTGCCCCGGCTACCTCCAGCAGAGTCAAAACAATGAAGCCTCATCAGCCACACACAGCGAGAGGAGCGTAGGAGCGAAGCCGGCCCAGAAAGGAGGAGGAGGAGGAGGAGAGGAAACTGACAGATCGGAGGGAGCGGGGAGGGGAGGGCTGAGCAAGCGGCGGCGGCGGCGGCGGCATGGAAAAAGAATTAAAACAGCTTAAAGTGCATTATGTGCCAGAAACAGCAGAGAAGTTATTGGTTTACTTAGATTGAGAACAAGATGAAGACAATCAGGAGTGAAAACAAGCCAAGGAGCAGAAACTGGGAGTTGAGCCACAGCATTAAAATGAGCTCTAAACATCTTAAATGTGGAATAGCGGCAGACACACACTGCCAAACACAGTGAGGAAGTCATTCATGCTCATTTTAACTAACTTGGCTTCCTGTGCTGCCAGAAAGCTGTCAAATGATCAACCAGTGGACTTTTCAAACCAGAAGTTGACAGCATCACTGCTGCCCTCAATTATAAAGGAGAAGTAATGCGGACGGCACGGCTGTGGAGGAGTCTCAGAAAGTCATTCGGCTGTAAAAAAGAAGAGGAAGCGTGTCCAGATCCGATGACCTGACTCGACAAAACAATGAACTACTTTACAGAACTCCAAAAAAAAAAAGTAAAACGGCTCCTTTTTAGGTTTACTCAGCAACATTTCACCGGTCCACTGATTCGGTTCATTCAATCAAAGCAACATTCAAGTCTTTAAGTCCTATAATACAATTGTGCTGATTAAAGCCACATAATTGCTGAAATAAAGCTGACTTAGAGAAACTGTTGACTCAGTCACCATTAGGGCTTTATTTATTTCCAGGAACACTTACTAATGTAGATTTTGTCGTCTCACTGAGCTGTTTGTGCGGCATTCACGCGATCAATCAACATTGACTTCAACTACTGCTGCCATTTTTGTTTGCTTATAAACTCGGGTTTAAAAGGCTTTAAAATCGGTGCTATCGCTGATACTGTTATTATTGATTCCTATTTTTAGGATCACAGAGATGCGAACATTTACAAAGTGTGATCAAACATTTGGGGGATGCAATGGTGTGCGTGTGTGGACTGCATCCCGGCCACACGGTCAGTAATCAGGAGACGGCGGGGCTCTTCACTATCAACAGCGAGACATCTGTTCCATGTTTTTGTGAGCACTTGCAGGTGCCTTTTTTTGAAATTTCTCCATGAAGTGGAGCAGAGAAGTCAGTCAGCAGCCGCGGATGAACCGACTGTCAACTGAGAGTTGGGTCTGTGGCATCGACAGAAGAAACAGCAGCTTTGACAGCGTAAGAGTCTCTAAAACCAGACAAGGCACATCGACTTAGAGTGCACCGGGAGCATGTCCGTTGCTTAATTCAACATGCCCTGTGAATTCGTTCCCCAGGGCCGGACTGTCAAGGCAGAGTTCTACTGTAACTTCCTCAGGTGGGAGAGAAAATGACCTGAACTATGATGTTTTTTGGCCACAGCAGCACCACGTATTCACTAGATTTGGCTCCCCGGGACATTTCTTCCTCTCCAAAATGAAATCCAAGTTGAACGGTTTCTGTTTGAACACAGTTTGTCAGATTCAGGGCTTATCGTAGATGGTGCACGACATGTTTCCATAACAGGATTACCTTGGAGTGTTACAAATGTGGCAGAAGCACTGGGAGCAGTGCATCACTTCAACAAGGAGGGCGGCTTCAATTAAAGCCACGTTTACATATAGCCGGGTATTTACAAAAACGCATCTACGTTCTCAAAAATAACATCGTTCACATTAGATTGTTTTCAAAATTCGTTTAAACAAACCCGCATAAACATGTCGTTAAGAGCTGCTATGAGCTGCCAAACCTATAGGGGGCAGTGTAACGAGAAGCATAAAGCCATGCCAGCCAATCAGAATCTTGGGAAAAACCCAACAAACGAATGGCGCGAACTACTTCCTGTTACTTCAACGATAACGGCGCAAGGGTCGTTTGGACCGACAGAGACGTGGAGCTACTCCTCAATGTGGTGTTGAAGAACAAAACAAGTAAAATATCTGAGAATATTGAATTTCTATCAAAGTAGCCAAACTGTAAACATGGTCGCACACACATGATGGTGATGACGTCAAACTTCGTCTTCTTCCGTCTGCATGCAAACGTAAAGATGGAGTTTTTCCAAATCTCCACTTTTTTTTTTAGATATGATTGTTTTTGGTGACTTGTAGCTTCGTTTCGGTGTAAACCAAAGGCCCAAACGCACTGAAACATCACCGTTTTTGCTACGTGTAAACAGGGCCTCAATCAGCTGTCAATTTCAACGTTTTAAGCCGTGGCTGAATTTTTTGATCACACCTCCTAAATGTAATTTTTAAGATGATGCTCTAGTTTTGATCCACATTTTCTTTCTCGTTCAAGAACATCATACAGCAATTCAAACAGGAAAGGGTTAAAAAAATAAAAATAAAAGTAAGGACAATACATGGATTGAGAACATCTTCCACAATAAAGGGACTTCCGCTGGAGCATTTTTGGAAAGACATTTGCTTTACATGCTCAGTTCTAGTTATTACAAGCATATCTGCAGCTGCCTGAAAATTGATTCTCACAGCCATTATGGGGTAAGGCAACCCTACAGAAAACACAAAAGGAACAGATGTGACAGCTGAATACATCAAGACAAAAACAACAACACAAGAAGCAAAAAAAAAAAAAAAAAAGAAGCATGCTGGAAATCAGCTTCACCACATCAGACCAGATCATCTTTTTTCCACACGATCTCGGAGGAGCAGAATTATATTTTTTGAACTCGATCCATTTCAGCTGCAGCTGGCTGTAGTTACCTAAAACCTTTCCACCCACTGCTGCTGCCGTTAGTTACATTTTGCTCGCTTCGCTGTGCTTCCCCGGAGATGTCTCATACCTGCAGTTTGACGGCGATGACCACTGAAGTGAGGTCTTTATCCAGCTCCTTCAGCATGATCAGCTTCTTCAGGGTCAGGTTGAACAGCCTGCAGGAAACACACACACACAGAAGGACACTAAAATTAGATTCAGTGCCCACATGGTGCCTCGCCCTCTGTTCACGGTACAAGCGAAATGATCAACAAGTCATGAGAGATCCATTTGTTCCCCGCAGCGATGAGGTGCCGTGACTGGCCTCGGCGTGGACAGCTTACAAGCTGCCGGGGAGGAAAAGCCGACCGCTGCCGACTGTCTCAAAGCTCCTATTGTGCTTTAATTACTCTGCTAATGCTGTGATGAACAATACCCGCGCCTATAAAGTGCTGAATTAATAAGGATCTCAATTTTTAATTAAAAGACAACCGAAGAAATGGATTTGAAAAATTCAGACGTGATTGAATTTGCCTTTACGCCGAACTCTGCTGGTGAAAGTGGAAGAAGCCGACATCTTTTCCTCCACATCAGAGTAAAGCACGACGTCAAAAAGACGATTGCAGGTGTCAAAAATCATCCTCTAACTTAAAGACTTGACTCCAAAAATGGTCACTAGTGTTCATATATCAGCCTCTTTTAAATAAATGAGCTTCTCTCTCTCATAACTTAGGAGGTGGAAGTGATGGTTGAAGGAAACAGCTGAAGTTTGGGCCAAAAAAGGTTTAGCTTTTAGTACATGGTGATATTGTTAAGAATAAGAACCAGTGGCTACGATTCGAGCAGCCCTCCCATGTCGGATTTATGTCACTGATAAAGAAAACAGTTTATGCATAGATTTATAGAAACCGTGGCCACAAACAATCAAACAAACCAATAAATAAACTCAGATTGGTCGCACTACAAAAACTCTACAATATACAAATTGATCTTTTATTCTATTTCTCATTGTTTAACTCCTGTCTTGCTCCTGGCTCATTTTTCTTCATTGTGGGCTCATTTTTTTTTAGTGCAATAAAAAGTCTTGCACCTCTAAGGAAACAGAACAACCGTGACTGAAAGTAGAGAGAATTTAAAAATGTGGTTTGAGCAGTAAAACCCACATATACTGCAATAAATCATAAAAGAAATCAAGTTGGATTTCATTAACAGATTCTGCAGGCAATCAAAGTATTTTTTTTTCTTTTTTTTAATTTCCAAAAACAGAATCTAGTTATTGCAAATTGTTTATTTTGGGAAACATTTTAAATGAGGCTTGCAGAATGAAGTGATTTTGATGAAAAATCACGATTTTAATCTGACATTTGGTTACGTTTTCTGGCAAAGCAGCACATCACGTAACAGATGCGTAGTTTCAGGAATGTCAGACAGTTGAACATTAGTTGATTCCTTCTGCTTTACAGTTTCTTCTTCTGATAAATGGTGTAATTTTGACGATTATTTTTAAAAAGACAACATCACCAGCAGGTTTTGGGGTTCAGAAGGTTAAAGCACATGCAAGTAAATGTGTATATTACAAGATAAACACCAGTTTATGTGTCATTCTCTTGCTGCTCCATCCTCACTTCCTCTCTCTCCAGAGGCCTGATTCTCAGACACAATCACTTGAATTGTTCCAGACACTGAATAAGGTGAATCTAAAACGAGACGCGGCTTTAAAAGATGCATTTAGTGCAGCTATGTGTTTTATCTGACGCCGAGATGCTAAAAAAAGATTCAATCCAGCCCACAATGGGACTGGAAATGGTTTTCTATTTTTATAAAAGTTAAAATTGTCTTTTTGTCCGACTGAAGCCAACATTTACGTCAGCGTGTGCGACAAAATTATACTGGACGTCTTCCATTTGAGAGGCACAGAGTCTGTAAAAGTTGAACCTCATCCACATGTTTCCTAAAGCGAACAGACGCAAAGCAGATGCACAGACAGAAACAGTTCAGAAATACAAGACGAGAAGCACTTAAAGGGCTGAAATTGAATCAGAGAAAAGACACACACATCACACCCAAACAGCAGCTGTGCAGCCAGGGGTCAGTCTGTTCAATAATTCATCTCCGGGGCTCAAGAAAAGGAAAGCGAACCGCTAGGATGGACCAGTCGGGAAATAGAGAAACGAAAAAAAAACAACAACAAAGATGCAGAAAGAACATCATGTAACAGAATAATATGCAGAAGACAGACAGGCTGACAAAAGACCAGAGAGACAGAGAGAAAAAAAGACAACAAAAAGAAAATGACAAACAAAAATAGAGATGTAAAAAGAGCCGTGAATGCAGAGGGGAGGAAACGACAGGCAGTCAGACAAAAAGAGGGGAGACAGAGAGAGGGAGGGAGGGCGAGACGTGAAAATCGAGGGAGACATCAACGGAGAGAATAGAGATGTGGCGATGACAGAGGCTGACACAATGTGTTGAGAAAGAGATGAACTGTCTGACACTGTGAGGAGAAAAAAGAAAAAGGGGGCAGTTGGATGTAAAAAGCCGTCCATAACGCTGCACATGTGGTCGTAGGTGACAGAAATAAAAGCAGAAACCAACAGAATCAAGAAAAATCACCAAATCCCTGCCTGGATCAATACACCAGACAGGATGGAGGCTACACAAAGTGCAGCTACACAAACACACACACACACTCAAACTTCTCTCCTAATGACAACTATAAAGATTAAAGGCAGCCAGAGTGGACAGAAAAATTGCACTCTTGGTCCAGACACACCTCTCTGCCCTCTCATCCCACCTGAACCATCCACCATCTCCACCCCACTCTGCTGCCTTTCATCTTTCTTCAAGTGCTCCCATCCCGAACAGCGAAGCGGACAAGTGGCCTCGGCTGCTGATGCAACTGCCGGAAAAACTCGGCGGCGACAAACACGGCGAGGCCTTTTCTCCTCAATCCCAAGGCTTTCCACGGCACACAAGATCAAAGTGGCCAGGAGAGGCTAAACCTATGAATAATAACAAATCTTGTTCTTTTTTTTTTTCTCTCACACAGAAAGCGCAGCTAAGTGCAGCTTTCTGCTTGCACCTGCTGGATGTGAGTGGAATGAATCAAGGTGGAGAGGAAGGCAGAAGAGGCCCGGTGCCAGGGGTCGATTTGGGATGGGACTGAAGCACCTGAGGCAAGCCATTAGGGAGGCGAGGGGAGAAAATAGATGGACGGACGGAGGAGAGAGGAAAAACACAGCGCTGGGAGAACGCAACAGTGTGACTTTTGCACTGTTGCTTTTCAAAATCAACCCACCTGTGGGTTTTAAGAGCATGTGGTTTTTCAAAAAGACACGTCACAATTACACCATTTACCCGAGAAAGATGGCCAGAAAGGGTTTTCAGCTCTCAGACAGTCTTGAACTAATCATGTGCTACTTGCAGGCTAGTTGGAAAAACTAAGTTACTAGTTAAGAGATCCAGTAAAAAATTAAGGGACTTTTAGGTTGAACTGCAGGTTGTGTAGTTTACATAAAACAGAAAGGATGAAAGAAGGTATTAAGCAACAAAATGAAAGCAGAGGAGCAAACTGTCAGGATGTTGTTGGAGGATACATTCAGCTTGGTGAATTATCTTCCTACACTTGATGTGCAAACTACAGCAAAAAATGGTTGAGGCTGCAAAAATGGAAATAGGTGAATATCTAGCCACCTTTTTTTTAATGGTACCACCTGTGGACGCTTAGAAAAATGTTGCACACATGTTTTCCATTTTTTGTGAAACTAATATTCACAGAAACTCAGCTTTCATTGTTATGTTTTTTATAGTTTATGGTGTTCAAACTACACAAAACTGATATTTTTGAGTTCTCTCTGCTCCTAGTCATGGTTGTGCTGTTTCCATTAAGGTGCAGCGATTTATACTGCCTTAAAAAATGAGCCCACAGCGAGTTGAAATGTGACAGGAGCCACAAAAACTGCTTGATGTTTGAAAGGTTAAACATTACGAAACAGGATAAAAGATAACTTCACAAAATGTAGAAGTGTTGTGGTTTTATTTTGAAACACAACCTGAGTACAAAGTCAAATCCTTTATAAGGATCTCCTAGCAATATGAGGGTATTGTCCTTAATTACACTAATGCAAACACAATTATTGCAGTAGTTAGTGCTGCTATAATACTGGAGGTTGGTATGTGACCAAATCAAGGATTTCAGGGACTCCATAAAAAAATAAGTGTTGTTTTAAGCTCGTCATAACATTGAATCTTGTCAAATTCCTGTTTTTTTAAATCACAAAATGATAAAATGAAATAACTCCAATGTAACAACACATTCAAAGCCACTTCTGAGAATGGACTGTTTCTGACACTAAATAATACAAAACTATTCTGTTTGACATCAAAAATGTACTGAATTCTATTTTCCCCCGTGTGCAGTATAAATAATACACAAAGAATAACACGCACAACTACAAGAACTTCAACGTACTGCAGTCCAAAAACAACAGAGCTCCAGTGAAGAATATTGAAGTGTGCAATCACGTTTGAGGGTCGGGTTTGTGATTGAAGAGCTGTCACGTGTGTTGAATGCGTTCCTATTATTTTGTCCACTCCTTGTTCAGATTGACACACCTTTCCTCTTACCAAATCCAAAGTGCTTTGGTTTAGTAAAGAAAAAGCTCAAATCTATTCACAGGAGATGACTGGCACTAGCGCTTTAGACGAGCTGGCATGCTGGTATTCAAGTGTAGAAAATGTGTGTATATTAAAACTGAATTAAACACATCTGCTCTATTCTAACACAGACTTCACATCCTGTCAATCTTGGCAGTCGGCACTCATCAGAAGGATATCGTGCGCTGCACCCGCTCTGTCGCGATCAATCATAAAGCTGACAAGACAGTAAATGTTTACTGCACCACTGGGACCTTCATCATCGGACATCATAGCTGCGGGTTATGGCTTTTTGAGGGTCCTAAAACTCTTCCGGCAGAGAATATGATGAATCAAGACTCAAATAAGCCGTCACGCAGACAGTGTTCACGACTCGGCCCTGCAAATCTCTGCAGAATCCAGAGAGCAGAAAGGTTAAAAATCCACGTAGAGCCTCTCAATTATCCGAGTAATTAGGTGTATTGTAGCGCAAAACTAGTTCAGCAATTTATCACTTGCATGGTGGAACAGCTGCATAAAT